GTATGTAGTGTCTCTACTTTAAAGAGTCCTCTCCTGCTGATGTTCAGGTGTATATCAGTATGTAGTGTCTCTACTTTAAAGAGTCCTCTCCTGCTGATGTTCAGGTGTATATCAGTATGTAGTGTCTCTACTTTAAAGAGTCCTCTCCTGCTGATGTTCAGGTGTATATCAGTATGTAGTGTCTCTACTTTAAAGAGTCCTCTCCTGCTGATGTTCAGGTGTATATCAGTATGTAGTGTCTCTACTTTAAAGAGTCCTCTCCTGCTGATGTTCAGGTGTATATCAGTATGTAGTGTCTCTACTTTAAAGAGTCCTCTCCTGCTGATGTTCAGGTGTATATCAGTATGTCGTGTATCTACTTTAAAGAGTCCTCTCCTGCTGATCTTCAGGTGTATATCAGTATGTAGTGGCTCTACTTTAAAGAGTCCTCTCCTGCTGATGTTCAGGTGTATATCAGTATGTAGTGTCTCTACTTTAAAGAGTCCTCTCCTGCTGATGTTCAGGTGTATATCAGTATGTCGTGTATCTACTTTAAAGAGTCCTCTCCTGCTGATCTTCAGGTGTATATCAGTATGTAGTGGCTCTACTTTAAAGAGTCCTCTCCTGCTGATGTTCAGGTGTATATCAGTATGAAGTGTCTCTACTTTAAAGAGTCCTCTCCTGCTGATCTTCAGGTGTATATCAGTATGTCGTGTCTCTACTTTAAAGAGTCCTCTCCTGCTGATGTTCAGCTGTATATCAGTATGTAGTGTCTCTACTTTAAAGAGTCCTCTCCTGCTGATGTTCAGCTGTATATCAGTATGTAGTGTCTCTGCTGGGACTCCCAGCAGCTTCTACTGAAGCTTTCCGAGTAAATCGCCAGAGCGCCGACACCTCCTCATCTCCACCGTTCCCTTGTTTTCTTTTGTGTTGCCATACGTTAGTCCCTCTCCGTTGGTGCGCTGGGCTAATGCTAATGCTAATAATGCTAATGCGAGCAAATAAAATGGCGGCTTCACAACACTTTTCAGAGTTTTACGGGGCGTGGTTTGCAATCCGCCTTTTCCTCCCCAGGATAGTCCCACCTCTTTAGCAGGGACTGAAAATGGGGTGAAAAGGTTCCCGAAAAAAATATCTAGTTCCAGATATTTTTGGTGTGAACGCAATCCCAGGAACTATCGGAACTATTCCTGGGAAAAGTACTCCGGTGTGAAAGCGCCTAATGGTCAGAATACTTTGACATCCAGTATTCCCCGTTTATTTCCCCTTTTAAATCATTTAAATTCGCATTGAGCACATTTTTTTAAACCAATGGGAATATTCTACATATCTTTTTTTGAACACATCCTCCCAAACTCAGTCCAAGAGAATCGCCTTCTATGGAAACGTTAGGATACACTGCAATTACAAATAAAGTGTTGGAAGTTTGCACAAATGCAGCTGCACAGCTTGAGCTTGTGATGACTCACTTTGCTATTTAACTTATTTAGGCAAAACATGTAAATACTTGTCTCTAAGCTTGCACACATCAATACAGTATCTATGGCCTGAGATATATGCAGTAAGTGTGTAAATAGATCATGAAGACGACCACAGCAGGGATTTATCTCCAGCCTTTTGGGCAGATTTCACAGATTTTTGGTTTAATTCGGCTGGAAGAAGTCAGCAGACGTGTTCATCTTCCAGACGAGCTTCATATTTAATTCAGCAGGCCGAGCCTCGAAGAACCTTCTGTTATTTTTGTCTTATTATCCTCGGAGTACTATTTTTTTTTTGTATAGCTTTTAAAATGCAGTCATGCTGATGCTTGAGGATTACCCGGGGATATAAAATACAGAAAGAGAGTCTTAACTGTGACGAGCATCAAAACCTCTTTGATATGTTATACTGGTGAGAGAGGCTCTGATGACATGTAGATTATTGTGGAAGATATAATCATAAGATTATTTATTTCGCAACTTTTATAATATGCTTTACCAAAGAAAAATAATACATATGTTTTTTATTTAAAAGGACCCTATCCCGCTCTTTTTTCAGGTTCCTATTTGTATTTTGTGCCTCTAACATGTTTCCTTGCCTTTATGTTCAACTTCCAACCTCCTGTCTCCCCCAGGATAAGAATATGTTGACATCTGCTGCTTGTGTTCACTACGCCTACATTTCTAGCGAACATCTGACCAGTTTTCTTTAATAACTTAGAGTGTGAAGAATTGACAGAGCTGGGGAAAATGAGGGACTTTCCTCTGGGTGCTAAACTCTGTGCTCCAAGGCTATTTGCAGAGCGGTGATAATTAGATTAGTTTCCCCACAGAGCAGCACTGAGATCAGCTGGTCGTGTCACTGTAATGGTGACAGAATGAGTTCCTATTTCTGTGTCATTATCAGATATTGTGACTGAATTAGAATCAGAAGAGTTTATGGCGAGGTACTGTAGGATATCCACTCTGAAAAAGTCAAGAACATATTTAAAATAATATTATATATATATATATATATATATATATATATATATATAACAACAACAGAAATATAACAATACATATTTACAAATGATACTATTAAAAAGAGTGAGACATACAATAAAAATATAAAAATGTTTACTAAAACATGTAATGAAAAGAACATACATTTAGAATAGAATAGCTACAATAAAAACAGGACAAATATATAACAAATACCATAACATACACATACATTGTCTGTATATAATCAATAAAATATACTGTATATTATCGTATATAGTTGGAAGAAAAGATTTGTGTTTTGTTTAATGTTGATAATTCAGATTCCAGATTTTTTTTTTTATCGTTTTTAACTAATTTAATAAAATAAAATACATAAATACAATCTTTGTGAGCCTATCCCTTTAAGAGTTGTTGCTAGGGCGTTGCTATGCTAAGTTAGCCTGTTTACACGGTATTTACATGTCAGCTAAAAACTCCGTTAGCTTACTTTTTACTTTCCTTTTCACAACCTAATCCGTGTTTTCTAACAAGCTGTGTGTTCTTGGTCGTTGTCAGCTTGGTAGGATGATTTAATTTACCGAAACAAAGTGTGTTAATGAGCTGGAAAAGAGCGCAGGTTAAAGTGCTAATGCTGCTAATTAATTAAAACAGCTAGCTATTAGCTTGTGTTTTATGTTGGCTACTACTGAGATTAAATGTCTCTTAAAGTCTTAGGTTATGTCTTTAAATGTCTTGTTTTGTAAGTCCAAAACCCAAAGTATTTCACTTTAATATCATATAAAATAGAGTAAAGCAGTTTATCTCCATATTTTAGTTTCTGAAAAATCGATTTTTTAATATATTTTGTGTTCTCAAGTCAATCGAAAAGTTATTCAACTTACAAATAAATGCAGTGTCGTTAAAATAACAATATCTGCATTTGAAATATAATAAAGTAGCAGAAAAATGACAATCCTTAATTAATGTACAATTACTTAAAAATGTACACAGTACTTGAGAATATTCACTCGGTTACTTTGCACCACTAAGCACAGATCAGACACAGCATTCATTCAATGTCTTATTTCTTTCCATCTGATGCATTTTAGTACAATATTCACTTTCAATTATCTCTGTTTTGCATCTCTCAGTTCATTTAGCTGCTCAATGCTCCACTTCATTCACCGCCAGATGCTCGCTTTGTGTAGGAAGTATACATTGGGTTGTTCAGAGCTATAGTCTGTGGAGGTAACAAAGAGATATCTAAACCTTCTGTCTCAGTGTCAGACATGTTTCTTTCTGTGAATCATTGAAATGTTCCCACCTCTCCCCCCGAGAGACTGAAAAGGAGGTCACTCTCACCTGAACCTGGATGTGAGCATAATAAAGCAGCACAGAACAAAGCTCCGTCCTTTATTTAAACCCTTTCCGTCCTTTCTCCCATCTGTCCAAAGCTTCTCTTTAATGACAGCCTCTCTCATCTGCTTGTATGTATTCATTAACTGTATTTACCTCCCACTCGGCAGTATTAAAGCTACTTCCAGAAAAAACCCATTAAGCACCGAGGACTTTGTATTCTGATTTGACGACAGCCCGTCCCATTTTGCTTTGTTAGCACTGACACTGTGACTTGAATAAGAACATTTGGATTTACATTTCAATCATTAGGCTGATTCTGATGCAATGGAGTGGTGCAGGAATGAGTCTTGCATGAGTGTTGCTGTGGGATTGCAGTGCAGCACCACAGAAGAAGAGATAACTACTTACACACATTGCTTAAATGTAGAGGATGTGAAGCAAATTCTCAATTAATCTCATGCTTAGTTGTTTGATTCCCTGCTCCTTTGTCAGTGTCCTTGAGCATTACATTGAACCTCAAACGGCCAGAACACCACTTAGCATAGTATGTGTGTAAAGTGTGTTTTAGCAAAGACAGAAAAACTCTGAAAGGTCCAATAACTTTTAATCAATGAGATAATCAACAGGAATTTAATTGGCAGCATTTTTAATAAGGGCTGCATGACGAACAGTTCAGCATCGACACATTGCTGCAGGAGCAATAGTCACATTTCAGGACATGTCATAAGAAAAATAACTTGTCTTGCTCAGTTCTTATTTTCTATGTCTCATCTGCAAGAAGAAGTCTTTCTGATATAAAATAATGGACTGCTACAATATTTGTGTTTTTACCTCGTTAAAGTTGATCCTTTAATTAACAAGAGTAAAGTGTTCGACCAGAAGGACTGTTAATTCTTATAAAATACCAACAGTGAACTTTTAAAAATGAAATGCTGTCTGTTTTTATGAACAACTCATCAAGACAGACGGCTGAAAACAAATTCCCTTTATGAGGATGTGGTATGCAGCCATTTCACAGTATTGTTTAATGATGCAGAAGAATAGTGCTGGCAGTGAAGGAGGATGCATTGTGCTGCTGTGCTTTGCACCTCTCTGCTCGCCAGGGAGTGGTTTTGTGTTTGTATGTCCTTGAAATGACTGATGTGTTTTTTTTATCATTTATTTTCTACTGACACGTCCAAGTGTGTCCTTGTTTATTGATGGTGGTGTGCCCTGCAGGTGACCCAGCCCCCGCGGACAGAGCAGAGTCAGCTGTTGGGGGGCTTCGATGAGAAGGCTTACCTGTCAGCAAAGCAGCTGAAGCCGGGGGAAGACCCGTACCGAGAGCACGCCTTCAACCTGCAGGAGAGCGACCGGCTGGGCAGCGAGCGGTCCATCAGAGACACCCGACACTACAGGTGTGTGTGTGTGTGTGGGGGGGCTGTGTGTGTGTGTGTGTGTGTGTGGGGCTATGTGTGTGTGTTTTCACCTGCACCATCTGTTGCCATTAAGTTGAAGCAATAGAACTTGTAAAACATTTTGTAACTGAAAAAATGGCAATGATCGAAGCACAGCTGTATTTGTGTGTGTGTGGGGGTGTGTGTGTGTGTGTGTGTGTGTGTGTGTGTGTGTGTGTGTGTGTGTGTCAGCTTTCACCTGCACCATCTGTTGCCATTATGTTGAAGCAATAGAACTTGTAAAACAATTTGTAACTGTAAAAAATGGCAATGATCGAAGCACAGCTCTGTGTGTGTGTGTGTGTGTGTGTGTGTGTGTGTGTGTGTGTGTGTGTGTGTGTGTGTGTGTGTGTGTGTGTGTGTGTGTGTGTGTGTGTGTGTGTGTGTGTGTGTGTGTGTGTGTGTGTGTGTGTGTGTGTGTGTGTGTGTGTGTGTGTGTGTGTGTGTGTGTGTGTGTGTGTGTGTGTGTGTGTGTGTGTGTGTGTGTGTGTGTGTGTGTGTGTGTGTGTGTGTGTGTGTGTGTGTGTGTGTGTGTGTGTGTGTGTGTGTGTGTGTGTGTGTGTGTGTGTGTGTGTGTGTGTTTCTGTCTGCTCTCACCTGCACCATCTGATTGAGGATTAATCTTGCTTGTGCTGCAGGTGGATTTAGATTAAATCTTACGGGTTGGAGTAAGTGAGGTGAGAGAAGTGTGTTGATCTTAAAGCTTGTGTGAGGTGTCCTGACTGCTGGGTATATACGTGGTATCCCTCACACACAGGGGGTGGACAAAATATAAATGTAAACACTTGCTTTAATGGGCGGCCCAGATAGCCCATCTCCTACAGCTGAGACCCAGCAGCACTAGGTGGAACCTTGAGCTATTTTGTGCATCTCCGGCGAAACATATAAAATCATTTCAGGTCCCTTTATGAGGGATTTGGATAAAATCATATTCTCACAAACCAGTAATGGCTGTAAAAGAATGTGATGTGTCCTGATTGTGTCCTTCTAATGATTTTTTAAATTTTTTTAGACAAAAAATGAACTGATGTACTAGACTAGATTAGATGAACTTTTTTGATTCCAAACTGGGAAATTGTACTAAAGTTGAGCCCATACTGCAGCGGACCGGCGTCAAGCTTGCGGTCTTTTGCTGGATGTTCTCTTTGCCCTTTTCCAGTCTGCACTGTGCAAAATTAAATATAATATAAACCCAACATGCAGATTTTAAATCATGAGTCCTCATTGTATGTTCTTTGCAGCCTTTCCTTTTGTTATTCACTATATGAGGCAAGGCCTTAGCTCCGAGCCACAGGAAGCACATTAAAGCAGAAAGCGTTAGAAAACTGTGCAACTGTTACCCGGCAACCGGATATTTCCAGCAACAACACTGAGGCGACTCCACACTGCACCTCTGCTAATCACAGCTGTGTGTGTGTGTGTGTGTGTGTGTGTGTGTGTGTGTGTGTGTGTGTGTGTGTGTGTGTGTGTGTGTGTGTGTGTGTGTGTGTGTGTGTGTGTGTGTGTGTGTGTGTGTGTGTGTGTGTGTGTGTGTGTGTGTGTGTGTGTGTGTGTGTGTGTGTGTGTGTGTGTGTGTGTGTGTGTGTGTGTGTGTGTGTGTGTGTGTGTGTGTGTGTGTGTGTGTGTGTGTGTGTGTGTGTGTGTGTGTGTGTGTGTGTGTGTGTGTGTGTGTGTGTGTTCACGGGCCGATGTGCCAGTGTAACACATGTATGTTGTTCCTGGAGAGAAGCGAGGTGAAGCTTCCCTCACTGTGTGATGATTGTGTGATAAACCCTCCTCTCTGCAGGTGTGCGTCTCTGAAATATGACTCAGACCTTCCCTCCACGAGCATCATCATCACTTTCCACAATGAGGCTCGCTCCACTCTCCTGCGCACCATCAAGAGGTAATGAGGTCGAACATAAGCAGCACCATAAATCAGGAGGAATGAAACCGACTCGTTTTTTCTGACCCTCGCCCCTCTGTTTCCTCCCTCCCAGTGTCCTGATCCGAAGTCCTTATTCTCTGATTCAAGAAATCATCCTGATAGACGACTTCAGCGATGACCGTGAGTTTATGTTTCATTGCTGGTTAATGCTGTGGTTAGAGATGTAGTTGCGGGGTTGAGAAATTGCTTAATTTTCCTAATTCTCGGGCTTGGAAAATGCTTAGTTTTAACTAATGTGTATATCTTCAAGATTAGGAATGCTAATGTGAAAAAAGACTCCTTTAACACTAGAACCGCCAGAGGTCGCTCATACCTAAAACCGCCAACGGGACAAATTTACCCGCTATTGATTTTCAAGGTACAATGTTCTTTTATTTATCATGTAGAACAGTGAGTTTTGATCGCACAGGGATGGAACTTATACCAATATAATCTGTGGACTCTCAGCTTTTCATGTGATATAGTTTGTGCAGATAGCATGAAGTATAAAATATCGCTACCAGTGCTGATTTAAACGCTTGGTGTTAGATTTGTGTTTTGTTTAGGTACAAATCTCTCTATCTCTCTCTCTATCTATCTGTCTATCTATCTATAACTATCTATCTATCTATCTATCGATCTATCTATAACTATCTATCTGTCTATCTCTCTCTATCTATCTATAACTATCTATCTATCTATCGATCTATCTATAACTATCTATCTGTCTATCTCTCTCTATCTATCTATAACTATCTATCGATCTATCTATCTATATCTATCTATCTCTCTATCTATAAGGAACCGCAGTAGACAAAAGGCGTTGCTATAGCAACACGTCATGTTTACGCTGCATTTTCTATGAGGTAAATATTACCCGCTGGCGGATATAAGTATAAATGGCAATTTCTTTGGGCGATTTTTTTTCAATCTGACTTCATATTGACAATTTTTAACAACAGAGGGTGCTACATAACACACTTTCAGGAAAAGTCACGGACTGGGAGACTTTAATATTTTATTGCAAAAAAGTTACATACAATCAAAAAATAGCTGCGGGTAAAATTGACCCGTTGGCGGTTCTAGTGTTAAAAAATACTTAGGCAACCATTAGCCATTAACCAACCAATGTAACACTCACCCACCTTATCACCTGAATCTCCTCCTAGAGCACCATTGTGTTGTTTTCAAACCAATCATCTCTCAGAGGGGCGTGGCCAGCAGCAGCTCAGTAGCATTTAAAGCTACAGACACAGAATCAGCACTTTGGAAACAGGGCTGAAACAGAGGGGATGCTACAATGATCTGTTTGGTGTTTCAGCCAATCGGAGACAGGTTCTGTATATATCTGACACCTCTAGTATAATGTTGAAAAAGATTATAATAGGGGATCTTTAAACTTCAGCTTTTCCCAAATCTTGTCTGCAGCCCTTTGTAAAAAGCTCTTCATTCTGCTGTGAATAAGTGTGATGCAAATGTCAAAGGAATGTTCCAGCACATGAGAAAGAGAAAAAGGAGAAAATGTAGGGCGAGGATAATGTCAAGAGACAGGAGTGGCTTTGAAAGTGAGTCACACTGATGTCGGATATCACAGGAAATCAGATTGAATTTTGGAGTTGAGATTTTCCTGAGGATTCGGTCTTTTGTGATGATCAGTGAAGGGATGGAAACACAACACAGCAATCAGCTGCAGCTGTTGATTTAGAAAACATTGTATCAGGGTACACTTAACATTTATACCGGTTTTTTTTTCTCCATATGCAGTTTTTTAAACTATAGTTTTAGTATCTACTATTATGTATTTTTATATTATTTAAAAAAGTTCCATATTTATAGATTTGTAACCTTTTTAATTTATATACATTTTTATATTTTATCATCTTGATTTCAGTTTTAGGGTAATATTTATATTGATTAAAACATTTTAAATAATTAATTGAATATGTAATTTATTTTATTTTATTTTATTTTTGTAATTTATATATCTATTAATTATTAAAGGTAACCTATCATGCTAATTTTAGGCAATAGCATAGGTCTCAGATATATTCAAAAATATATAAAAAACTCAGCTCATGCGGGACCCGGCAGCTACTGTCTAAACTAAACACTGCCGTGATGAAACGCCATATCATGGATTATCAAGGATTCGCTCTGAAACAGTCTGGAGCTCAAAGGCTTTCTCTCTTGCCGGTTATACCGGTTCCTTTTTACTTCCTGCTTCTTCACACACATGCTCTCCAGTACAGATTAGCTCTGAGTGTTAGCGATGCTAATGTAAACACCGACCATATTACGTCCAAAACAGTCGGGCATTGTTTCTGATAGCAACGTTTCTGATTGGGCCGTGGGTCCACATTTCAGATATTACAGTCATATTGGACGCAAATCTGGATCAGCTCCGTTGTAGCCCCGTTTTTAGAGATTTAGGTACGGAGGAAAAGAGAGGGGGTTTTATTTTCTGACGCTGCGTGAGTTCCCCGACACACATGACATGACACATGACACATGTTGATGTATAAAAGACATCACAAAGTGCATTTTGCATGATAGGTCCCCTTTAATACTATTATTATTATTGAATATATATATTTTGTTGTCTTCATTTTAATTCTCAGTACTCCTTCCTCTCTTCTCTCCATGCATAGTTCACCCTGTTTGTAAAATCTTAAAGCTTCAGTGTATTCCCTGAACAATTATCAACCAGAACAATCTGGAGCTGCCGCCGCTGCCATGAGGAACTGATCATTTGTTATGCAAAAAGCAGATAAGTGGTGTAATTGAACTTGACATTTTAGAGTTAATTGCACCATAAAGTGCGGCTTGTGTTTTTACGTAGCGCACCACGACTGAGGATAAACACATTTTCACCCCTTTGCCAGCATTAGGCAGAATAATTACATTGAGCTCAAGTTTACACTGTCCACAGCTCTGTGTGTAATCACCAACACATGCATCTTGTGTGTGTGTGGGAACAGCACAGTGACCTACTTTCACTGTGTACTCAGGCCATGACGCACACTCTCACACACACACACACACTCTGAGGTGTCCAGACTTCTTAGCAGTGTGTGTCAGTGGCAGCAGCAGTGGAGCTCTATTATCTCACTAATGCCTGTTTACTCACCCTGTGCTGCGGACGCTTTGCTGCACTGACACCATGATGACTTTAGAGCCAACATGGCCGCCTGTTTCTTGTCCTGCAGCAAGACTTTAACCTCCTCCCTGTAATGGCTTTCACATTTCAGCATTACTTTAGGGTTGAGCGATAGAAAATCAAATAGCACACTATTTCTGACTGACCTGTTTCAGCATCGTGACGATATTGTTTGATACCTAATGAAAATGTTGATAAAACTCATCAGTAATGTGGATTTAATGACTCAGTTGGACAAGGTAAATCATAGAACAACTAGATCTAAAGTAACTGTCATGTGTCCTTTAAAACCAGGTAAAGATATTAAGATACGACTGAGACTATATCTATTATTTTTGTTCAATTAAATGTTCAATTTCTTCAACATTTAATATAATTTCCCTTCAATTTAAGAGGCATTTAGTGGTTGTTAGCGGTGTACTGAAAGCAGCCAAAAGGCAGAACTGAATACACTTTAATATCTGTTAAATCACCCAGGTCATATTTTTGATAGTAAACAACGTTATCACATGTCGTGTATTTTCTTTATATCGTGCAACAGAGGCAGATAATAAATATAATCCATAGAAACAGTTTAGATGGTAATAATAATAAACACTGCAAACTCATGTCAATTTATTAGATATTATGTGGTTTACCTTGTGATAAAAATACAACAATTACATTTAAAAAATATATATATTTGTGATATTTAGCGTTTAAGTTATCCTTTCTTATGGCTTTGATTACATCCTTGTTATCCAGTGAGAAGTGTGCATTATCTTAACTATCTTTCCATAAATGTGCCATTCTGTTTTTACCACAAAACCAACTGGTCTCAAAATGTTTGCTGCAGTTTGTGGTTTCTAGTTTTGACTGTGAACAGGATAACCCTCTCATTATCGGTTTGGTTTCCTCCTGCTGCTCCTCTGCGGTCTCCTCCTCTCCACTTTCTAACGCTGCATTTTATTTAAAGTCTCAGTAATCTGCTATTAGTGAAAGGAGAATAAAACTGCTGTTTAAGATGCGGTTTGAAGGCAGGAGGTCGAGCCGCGTGTTCTCTAAAACCTCAAATCACTGCAGGCTGTTACTCAACATGTTGTTTTATTTCCTGTCAGACTGCACACACACTGAGGGGAGAGACAGCCTGCTTTATTTGCCAAATGATGTGGGCCTTTATGAGGTGTTTCTCTCTTGGTTTGCTTAAACACAGCCCATTAATTAGTCCACAATTTGCTAATCAAAACTGAAAGCAGACATTTCTTATAGTTATTTTTATGATTATTTAATGCATTATGTATATATAAAGAAAGATAAACAGCCTCTATTGTAACCTTGGTTAATACAACCACACTGAAATAATTTGAGGTAAAAAACCTAGCATGCTAAAGAAGGTTTTTATGTATATAATGAAAATGGACTCCCTCAGTGAAAACCTTAAAAAAATGTACAAAATAATTGTTGTATTCATATAAAAATCTGATTTTTATGATGACATGTTTCTACTATAAACCACTGACTGCATTTAAATGAATACAATATTACATTTCTGCCATAATTCCCCAAATATTCTAATAATTCTTGGCAAGGGACAATTCATATTTTAATAATGTTCCCTTAGATGCAGCCGTGCAAACTAGATTAATTTAAATTCTCTTAAAGGGGACCAATCATGCAAAATGCACTTTGTGATGTCTTTTCTACATCAACATGTGTCCCCGGTGTGTCGGGGAACTCACGCAGCATCAGAAAATAAAACCCTCTCTCTTTTCCTCCGTACCCAAATCTCTAAAAACGGGGAACAACGGAGCTGATCCAGATTTGCGTCCGATATGACGTAATATCTGAAATGTGGACCCACGGCCCAATCAGAAACGTTGCTATCAGAAACAATGCCCGACTGTTTTGGACGTAATATGGTCGGTGTTTAGATTAGCATCGCTAACACTCAGAGCTAACCTGTACTGGAGAGCATGTGTGTGAAGAAGCAGGAAGTAAAAAGGAACTCGCCTTGTGGTATAACCGGCAAGAGAGAAAGCCTTTGAGCTCCAAACTGTTTCAGAGAGAATCCTTGATGATCCATGATATGGAGTTTCATCACGGCAGCATTTAGTTTAGACAGTAGCTGCCGGGTCCCGCATGAGCTCAGACCCCTCCTCTTTAAAGCTTTATACCCAAATCAGCACTTTAGAAACAGGAAGTGAAATAGAGGGATATGAGGCATGGCTAGAATGATCTGTTTGGTATTTTGAGCAAAACACTTCATAGACATGTTTTTTATATATTTTTATATATCAATCTGAGACCTATGCTATTGCCTAAAAATAGCAGGATAGGTGACCTTTAAATAAGTTTATATCCATGTTTTAATAATATGTAAAATCTTATTATACAATGTTAGAAATGTGAACTGCTGCAAAACCCTTTGAGACACATAATACTTAATAGTAGGGATGCTCCGATCGCCAATTTCGGGGCCGATCGCCGGAATCAGTATCGGCCGATACCGATCGCCGATCCGATCGAGTGGGCGGGGCCTAAATGGAAGATTTAAACATCACTTTAAATCTTCCATTTAAAGTGATGTTTAGAACTCAGTTAATGGGGCTCATTCACTGGAGCATCCACAAACAACAATCAACTTAATTATTACATTCAAATGATGTAACATTATTCAAGTTTACATTCACTTTGGAGAATAACACGGGAGAAATGAGCGGAAGCGCTCTCTTTTCCTCTCTCCCTCTCCCCCCTCTCTCCCTCCCCCCCCTCTCTCCCCCTCTCTCTCTCTCTCTCTCCTGACAGCCTGTCAGTATCTCATGCAGCTCACTGATCCAGTAATGAGTGACCCGACAATGAAGAATAAATATATTTATAATAACTAGTTTAGCTTGTTCCAGAGGTAGATCAAATAGCTAAGTGTGTTAGGTCTAACTCTTACGGTACGTCCACACAGCAGCTTTTCGAAAATCTTGGAGCTGGGCGTGTCTGAAGCTTGGGGATTTTTTGCGAGCAACGCGACCAACAACCAATCACATGAATCTCCCGCCCCCGACATACAAAGCAAAAAACCCCGGGGATTTTATGCGAGCAATATATATAAATATATATAAACTCCCCAAACAGGCGAAAACGTACCAGTTTCACCCACTGTCTCTGCCACCTCCCTCCATGCCTGGTTCCTCCGGTTTGTATCCCGTTAATAGTTCTGGTCGTAAAGAACCGGGTGATTTGCTACCGTCATTTCTCGTTTGGAATATGAGGAAATGAACTGCGGTCTGGTTCTCCCTGTGTGTGTGTTTCGCTGCGCTTACCTGTCCGGCGGGCGGAGCTGCAGGATTTCTGCTTCACACACGTTGCATACCGCTATTTTACTGTCTTTTTCGGACACCTTGAAATAATGCCAGACCGGTGAAGCCATTTTGGTGAGCTTGTTTTGCCGCACACAGAGAAAAGTGTCATGTATTTTACGTCATGCGATCGGCTCTCGCGATCGGCATGTTTAGAGAGCACCGATCGATCGGTAGAGAGTGAGTATCGGCCGATATCGATCGGTGACCGATCGATCGGAGCATCCCTACTTAATATGTTGTTTACATATCCAAAGAGTTCTCTTAAAACCTAAATAATAATAGCATATCACACATTTTATCGGGTAATTCAAACATTCGTTATAACACCTAATTTGCAACATTCAAATATATAAGGTGCTGTTTAAAATACCCTTTTCATTACCCACATCAAATTCTATGTATTGTCATATTAGCCACAATAGTGAGATATACTGTAAGTGTGTAAACTCAGTCAGTGATCTTACAGTGAAAGCTTGAATCAGGTCAGAAATGTGTCCCAGTTTCAGTTTCTATATTTGAGCTTTTGACAGCATACGTCTTCTTATGTAGAATAGAATAGTTTAATGTCATTATACATGTACAATGAGATAAATGCTTCTCCCTTTCAAGGGTGCCATCAAAACAAAAACACAACATAAGACAACAAAATACTTATGTTGTGATGTTTTTGTTTTGTATTGTTTGATCAACATTTAGTCAGTCAGTGAGAGTGTGAGCTCAGTTTGTCCCGTCATGCAGGCTGAGGGAGGAGGAGGATGTCGAGGGATCATCCGGCCTGAGTGTAATCCTGTTAAGGCTCGCTTTAATCACTCCGTCCTCATTTTAGGTGATATTTACTGTGAGGTCAGAAATCAAACAAATCAAGTTTTATTTATTTAGCACATTTATAAACAATTTTTGGTGGAGCCAAAGTGCTGTACATACAATAAAAATAGCCTACAGTAGAGACACTTTACAGCAAATACAACAGCACAGATTGTTCAGAATATCAGTATGAGAAAAACGACACCCTCTGTCCTTAGACCCTCTGTCCTTAGACCCTCTGTCCTTAGACCCTCACATCGTACAAGGAGAAACTTCCAGAGAAAACCCACAGTTTAAAGGGAGCATGGGAGAAACCTCAGGGAGAGCAACAGAGGAGGGATCCCTACATGTGACTCTCAGAGCAGCAGGATGAGGAGACCTCGTGCTGGAGCTATGGAGCAATGTTTTGGCAGTTAGGGTACGAGAATTGAATGACTTTCTGCTGTTGTCCTGGCAGGAGAGAGGCACACGTGGCACCAGTCCATCGGCAACTCCAGATCAATAATGCAAAAGTCAAATTGAACAAATTAATGCGTACATTTTTTTTTCTAGGGATGCAAAATAGGGATATTTATTCCGATTTTTGGGATAGGAGCTACACGGACAATAAACCTACATATATATTTCACCACAGTCAGACTTTTTAAAAGATTCTTCATTAAGTCGTTTTCTTCGTGCATGAACATATTATACATTCAAAACATGGATATAAGTAGCACACATAATGCATGTGACTTTATAATGTATGCACGCACACACACACACACACACACACACACACACACACACACACACACACACACACACACACTCCCAAACACACACACATGCACACGCACACACACACACCCAAACACACACACACATTCCCAAACACACACACACATTCCCAAACACACACACATGCACACGCACACACACACACACACCCAAACACACACACTCCCACACACACACACTCCCAAACACACACACATGCACACGCACACACACACACACTCCCAAACACACACACTCACAAACACAAACACACACTCCCAAACACATGCACACACACACACACCACACACAGACACACTCCCAAACACACACACACAATCTGGCTACAAGTATAAAACATCTGCTCAGTGGCTGGGATCTATGACTTTATGCTCTTCTTCCCTGAGTGCTTTAAACCCCCCTCCTCCTCCTAACTAAACACACTTATACACACACACACACACACACACACACACACACACACACACACACACCAGCTTCTCTAAAGCGCTAACACACCCTTGCTCTCACACGTCCCCTGTGATACGACAGGTTTGTACACACATCAAATGTAATCAAGGCGCATTACAACATGTCACGCTTGTTTCCGTCAGCATACGGCTGCATCGCTGCGGGGGGGTCGATGTACCCACAATCCCTCAGCAAGGTCACACTCACTCTCTACGCTGCTGCTAATCCTCTCAAGGGAGTGTGTGTGTACCTGTGTTTGTAACGATGTCCATATGCATCAACAAAAAGAGATTGTTTGTGTACAAAAAGGGAGTGGAGGATGGGAGAAAGCTGGATTGCTTTCCCAATGAAGCCCTTTTTGTTTGAGTCACTAAGAACTGCTGTTGTGTGTTTCTGGTTATTTGTTGGACTGTTTGTGATTTGTTTATGTTATACTGAGGGTGTGTATCTATGCAGCTCTCTGCTTGAGTGACAGTGTGTGTTTAAAGTGACAGAGGTTGTGTTTCTCAGTGTGTGTTCTGCTTCTCCATAACATCTCCTCTCCTCTCCTCCTGCAGCTGAGGACTGCCAGCTGCTCGCTCAGATCCCCAAAGTGCGCTGCCTGAAGAACGAACGGCGAGAGGGTGAGTGTGGAGGGACGGGGGAGACAAAGGGGGAGGCAAGCTGGCGTGATGCAAGATCTTAAATGTGCCAAATATGTTATTTATTTTTCGAGCAAACCAACACAAAGGTATAAGTGCCATATGATCACAACTAGAATAGAGAGGCGAAGTCCCTCCCCTTCCGGTGGACCTCCATGGGAGCGTATTTCGGGAAAATTATGTATTGAAGTCAATGGAGAGAGAAAGATTATCTTTCGATCCCGTTTGAATTGTGCCACGAATTACACACATGATGTTTGTCAATTTAAAAGATAATTTTGCAAGTCAAAAAAATAAAAATGTGTCGTAAAACTGTGAAGTAACACATTTTGTGTGTGAAACCGCTTGTTAGGGAATAATTTGCTTAAGTATTCAACCTTTGACCCAGTTCATCGTTTTCTCCTCTCACTTTCTCTTTCCCGTGGCACTGGTCTACGGCCTTGGGTATTGCTGCTATCTCTCTTAAGGAGGAGCAGCTTGGGCACATTGTTGTTGCCAGTCTGTGACAGAGCACAAGCCGCCATGAGGTAGTTTACTGTTCAGGGACGTAGGTTCCCTGGCGCACATTATTTTCTATGGACGAGAGCTCTAGTTAGATTCAGGGTCCATATTGCTTTAGTCTCGCTGATGAAGAATGTTGATTATTACACTCCGAACTAATTAAAACCTGGAGCTGCAGAAGAGTTCTTCAGAATTGATTTGGCAACCGCTGTGACACCTCGTGACACACCACCTGTCTTATTCTCCGGCCGAAGCTCCAAATAAACCGTCAGTGTTTGCCATCAAAGCTCCAGCTCTCCTCGTGTCTCTGAGTCCTGTTTCTAATTGCTTCAGAAGTTTCCCCCAAACCGCTCAATGAACTACATCTCCCATCTCGCACCACACACCAAGACGGCCGTCACGTTGGAACATTTCACTTCTTTCTTTCAGAATGAGGCGGAAAGTATTAAAAGAGGTGAAAATCACTCCAAGTCTGGGCACGTTGAGAGCTGCACACACACACAAGGGGAGTTAGTCGGTTCCGTGAGAGCCAGCATGCGGGACCGGGACTCTGGGATTTGTAGTCTTTCTAGTTGCGTATTTTTCATCGTCTTATATTTCAACAGTTTTACGACAAACTGTGACTTTTTTGACACGGAAATTATTTTTTAAGATTGACAAACATCATATGTGTAATTCATGGCACAATTCAAACGGGATCGAAAGATAATCTTTCTCTCTCCATTGACTTCAATACATAGTTTTTCCGAAATAAGGTCCCATTGACCGGAAGTAGATGGGCGGGACTTCGCCTCTCTATGGCCCTCAAATACCCTTTTTCCACTCAGCCCCAAAAAACAGTTTGTAGTTTGAACCAAAAAGCTGCTAGGCAAGAACCAGATACTTCTGAGATGAACCAGAGCAATAACAGATCATGGCGAGTGTGGCGAAGAAAATAAAACATTAGCGCTCGGATCGCAAAGTGACTAGGACGCGACCAACACACAAAAACACACATATACAATGTCGGAAACACTAACCAAGCATACGTGTCATACTATTTTTTTTACTATACTTTTAATGTCCACCCGTTCGCTGTTATATACTGGCTTAGCACAATTAAAACCCACACGAGCATCGACCCGACGCAGTCCTCCATTGTTTCTGTTGTGAGCAGCGTTGCAGAGAAAATCGGTGATGTCATTACGTGGCACCACTTGGACTCTGGTGGTGGAAAGCGAAACGAGATCTCACTAAGAAAAGTATATCGCCATGACAAGATCTATGAGCCTATTCTTGAAAAAATTACATTGAAATAGATAAAAGATAAAAGCCTCAAATTATCACATTTTTAGAAGATTGACAGAGAGAATATTTATAATTTTCCCTGATACATTTCTTTAAATTACTTGAGGTTCAAGGTTCATACGAACATAGCTACAGTGTAGTTATGCCGACGAAAATCTTGTGTCACAGGCTTCTCCAACAGAGCAACACAAAACACAGATAAACAGAAAAAAAATATATAGAGCAAGTAAATAGTAATACAAAAATAAAAATAGTTTTAAAAAAGTGAATTAGTGATATTACTTATTGAATAATTCTGTAAGTATTGTCGTTCATAGAACATTTGAATTCCTGTAGCCAGGTGCATTAAAAAGTTATATCCCATTATTAAAACCCACAAACTGTAGAAAGCGTGTGAGCATTGTTATTTTTTCCTCTCCCACAGTTTCTGAATTGGATTAAATTAATCCCTGAATGAGATTAAATGCTCGACCTCCACAACAAAGTTCTGCCAAGCTGAAAGCCAAAAGAAGCAGCGCTGCTAATTTGTTTTGATGTCTTAACATTAATCCGTTTTACTCAGGTTGATGCTCTTCGCTGACTTTGTTTTGGTCTGCAAGCTGACACAACACAAGAATACTGAATTTAAACCGACTGGCATCCAAAGAGCTCGAGTTTTATTCTTAACAATATCCAAATATTTGACATCTTTTTGTTGAGAAATAAATGTTCAATAAGCCCTGTTTCCTGAACTGGATGAGCCAAGAGATACAGTTATATTCAACACCAGAAAAACATCGTACTCAGGTACAACAACAGGCTTCTCTCAATGCAGTAGAAGACATAGGAACAAATAAATAACAGCAGAAATAAATAACACCAATACAGAGGGACTTGCATCTTGACTTTAAGAAATGTTTGTAACTCCTACTTTAAACAGCTCCTTATAGTTATATGTTTTTGCAACTCCTGTCAACAGTTTAAATTCAAGTTTTACAGTGCAAATTATTAGGAGGAGTTTAAATAAATGTAGTTAAATAAGTTAATATAAATTGTGTTTATGTTGTTGGTAGGTAGCATCATGTTACCTTGTTTAATGACATCTTTTAGATTATTTTAAAGTTTTGATAATAATAATAATTTATCATTACACTAAATGGACTGTACATATACATCTCTTTATCAGGTCTGTTCGACACACACACACACACACACACACACACACACACACACACACACACACACACACACACACACACACACGAAGACGATATAACCCTCGCAGAACAAGAGTTCCCAGCTGTGTTAGGAAATGACTGAGTATTTCATAAAAACAAAACTGTATTTAAAGGGGACCTATAATGCAAAATGCACTTTGTTATGTCTTTTATACATAAACTGTTACGGCCTATAGAATATTGGACCCCAAAGCAAACGACTGGAAAGAGATGGTAAAAAACAAAAAGCTTTATTCAAGCAGAAGAACAGAAAAATACGGCAGTGGAGTCAGGAAGTTGGCTGGCACTGAGACGTCAGGGACAGGAGGCAAAAATCCACACAATAAATCCAAAAGACTAGGAGAGCAGCGAGACACACCGGAGAGTCGAAACACAAAGGAATTATCTGGCAGGGAAGTGGCATGAGGACCGGGCTTTTATATCTACAGGTGAAGAGGTGAGTGGAAACAGGTGTGCCTCGACTGCTACTGGGAGGAGCCAGCCAACTCCCAGTCACACACCAGCCCTGCAGAGGAAAACAGAGAAGGGAGGGGTGAGACAGGAAAAAGCACAAAAAAGCACACAACAAAAACAAAACTAAACAGAATCATAACATAAACATGTGTCCCCGGTGCGTCAGGGAACTCACGCAGCGTCAGAAAATAAAACCCTCTCTCTTTTCCTCCGTACCCAAATCTCTAAAAACGGGGAACAACGGAGCTGATCCAGATTTGCGTCCGATATGACGTAATATCTGAAATGTGGACCCACGGCCCAATCAGAAACGTTGCTATCAGAAACAATGCCCGACTGTTTTGGACGTAATATGGTCGGTGTTTACATTAGCATCGCTAACACTCAGAGCTAACCTGTACTGGAGAGCATGTGTGTGAAGAAGCAGGAAGTAAAAAGGAACTCACCTTGTGGTATAACCGGCAAGAGAGAAAGCCTTTGAGCTCCAGACTGTTTCAGAGAGAATCCTTGATAATCCATGATATGGCGTTTCATCACGGCAGCATTTAGTTTAGGCAGTAGCTGCCGGGTCCCGCATGAGCTCAGACCCATCCTTTTTTATTTATTTAAAGCTTTATCCCCAAATCAGCACTTTTGAAACAGGAAGTGAAATAGAGGGATATGAGGCATGGCTAGAATGGGTGATCTGTTTGGTATTTTGAGCAAAACACTTCATAGACATGTTTTTTATATATCTGAGACCTATGCTGTTGCCTAAAAATAGCATGATAGGTGACCTTTGATGTATTCAATATAAACTATGACTCACACCTTGTTATTTTAATCCATAATGGAATCAACTGATTATAACGAAAGCTTAATCCTTTTAATAAAGCTTTGAAAAAGGCTCTTTGGGCCCCATGTGTTGGCAGCATGTATGAACACCTGACTGCTGTTTGGAGTCAAGCTTCTTCATACAAGTGTTTGTTAAAGTGTTTGTTCTCCTCCTCCTTAAACTTGTTGTTTAAAGCTGTTTGAGCCTCGCTACAAAGTGCACCTCTGAGGAATTGGATTAAAACAAAGTTGTTAAGAATAATCGCTCTATCCCGATGAATCATATTTCTATACAACGTGAATTAATCCCTGTTGATGCTGCAAGCTGTTTGAGTAATCAACACGAGAAACATGACCTCCTCTTCAAGGTTTCATACGGATACACTCAGGTACAAATCTATCTCTATCTCAAAGTCAGACTTCAAGGCTGCTTTTTGTCCTTTAAAGTTTTAGTTGTTTTAATGAACTCTGAACAAACAGATGCCTCTCTTCACAGGGTTCTTACGGTCATTGAAAACCTGGAAAAGTCATGGAAATTCAAAATGCTAATTCCAGGCCCTGGAAAAGTTATGGAAAACAATATTTTTCCCGTTGCATCAAATATAATTTATATTTTATCTAATCGCCGAAATAGTAATACTATAATGATAATAAATACTGTATCTTAAATTGACTGGCGCATTGCACAGAATACTACGGTACTCTGTTGCG